ACCAAAGCCATATTCCCTATATAGGTCTTGCTTCAGAGTCTGATCATTGTGTACGCTTTCACACGGGCTGATCAGGAGGGGATCTGTGCACTGATCCCCTCCTGATCGCAGTGGTCTGATCAGATGTCACCACTGTGAAATCCGCGTCCGTACAGTTTTCTTTCTCCATCTTGCAATGACGGAAGACCATCCATTTACACACAGCTGTCCACAGACTTACATTGGGCATCCGATCGGGTCTACCTGAAAAACAGAAAGGCGGACCCGATTGGACCACCCATGTAAAAGGGGCCTAAACATAAAGCAACATTGCATAGGATAAATGTGAATGCATCTACAAGAAGTTCTACATCAACATAACAGAAGCAGGTAGGAATCTGTAATAAGATTTAGCTTTATCAAAAAGGCTCCCCTATGACGACTGGTCCCAGAGACAATTTGTTGTAGATTACACCCCAGCTAAAAATCCCCAGGTTTAAAAGACAATCCTACCAAATATGTCTCAAGGTCTCCACACCTTGCAATACACGAGGGGCTGCTGACAGGGACAGAGCAGCTCTGTAAAGACACCCAGTTAAAATCTACATTTTAATGCATAAGATTATTGCTTGCAAAAGCATGTCCTAAAATCATTCTACTGTCACAAAGTTTCCATTCTAAGAGTTAGGCATATAAATTGCACTTTTTCTAGTTAATAAACAAAGCTTCATGATACAGTTCAGGTAACAATGGTAAGATGCGATTTTTCATTTAAGTCATCTGATTGGAAACGCAATAATACCATGCACAGGAAACAGCTTTTACCATCTTAGGGGCGAATATTTTAAAGCAGCAGCATAGCCTTATGGCTGCCATACTGCTGCTTTTTAGAGAAGTAAAATCTTCTGATACATTATTAGAGTGTTGTCACAGCAGCCTGAACATCTGTTTTTGTGCATTCGGTAACTTCCCCTTCTTCCACCTCCTGTTTTGTTTTTAGTACAGCCCCTAGTTAGACATTCCCAGTTTCCCCATGCCCTTGGATTCTAAGTACAACCCCTAGTTAGACATTCCCAGTTTCCCCATGCCCTTGGATTCTAAGTACAACCCCGAGTTAGACATTCCCAGTTTCGCCATGCACTTGGATTCTAAGTACAACCCCTAGTCATTCCCAGTTTCCCCATGCCTTTGAATTCCAAGTACAACCCTCAGTTAGATATTCCCAGTCTCCCCATGCCTTTGGATTCTAACTACAACTCCTAGTTAGACATTCCCAGTTTCCCCATGCCTTTGGATTCTACTAGTAAGTCTTCTTGGTGAGTTGATACTGCTGTGGACTCTTGTCAGGTCAGCAAATTGCCATACAGTTCGCATAGACTAGTTTGTAGAATTTGTGTGTGTCTTTTGCATAAAGCAACATTTGAGGCAGAACATAGAGCACGAGTTTGTGCTTAAAAATGTGCTCCTTCCTTGCTTTGGAACTTGGAATCAAGCAAAGCTCCTTTCATTTTAATAAAGGTGTGTAGGGAGCGGGTGCAAGGAGGAACACCTGATCACATGAACTGTCAGTCATGTGGCAAAGTTCTTCTCCTATCATGCAGTGTTCCCCGCAGCAGTACACAGAGAACACGCTAAAGGAACACCACAAGCTCCACACAGCAGCCTGCATTATATGAATGACACAATGTAGGCACAGCAGTAGTAAATCACTGTGCTATCTTGTGAAGAGCGAGGAAGGACTATGAAACCTGTTGCCCATACATGTATAGATCGAGAAGCCTCATACATCTGTGTACTTGGCATCCATGATTTTCCTATCATTGAGTCAGGAACATTTAGGTCACTTTATACAACTCTCCATGTTTGTATAAAGCAAGAAAGGCTGGTAAGTAACCTTGATGTCTTTTTTTTATACCAGCTCTACCTAAAAGGAAACCTATCATGAGGAGTTCACTACCTTCATCCACTGACACAGAGCAAGCAAGTAAATAAGCTCCGACTTTACAATGACTTTATCTGCATCCTTGTTTCAGGTCAAACGAACAGCTAGGCAACTGGCATTTCCAGACGCTTAGCCACAGCAGTATTTCTCTCACATATTTCGTGATCATTTCCACTAGACTCACCTTTTCTCAAATGTCAGCTGGCCAGTCATGGTCCTCTTCACCTTTTCTCCGGCACTGAAAAAATTTGCATTCGAAGAGCTGTGCTAATGAAATAACAGTCTTATTCTCTACAGCAGCCTCTCTCAACCAGGGTGCCTTCTAGCTTCCCCAGGGGTGGGCCAACATTTTTACACAGCATCATGCCTTTCTATGGTACAGTTGGGCTTCTGAAGTGAAGGGGAGCTCTTGATGTGAAAGGTGGACGAATATTTTAAAGCAGCAGCATAGCCTTATGGCTGCCATACTGCTGCTTTTTAGAGAAGTAAAATCTTCTGATACATTATTAGAGTGTTGTCACAGCAGCCTGAACATCTGTTTTTGTGCATTCGGTAACTTCCCCTTCTTCCACCTCCTGTTTTGTTTTTAGTACAGCCCCTAGTTAGACATTCCCAGTTTCCCCATTGCCATTTCAAAGTCACACTTTGTAGCAATCTGTTAGATAAAATCCTCAAACAGTAAAACACACAAACAGTGGCAGAAATAAGACTTTGATATATGGCACTTGTGAGGTATTAAAATCTTTTTTTATTCCATCTGGTAGTATGAGGAGAACTACCGCCCCCCCATCACCACCTCAGCTGACAAGTTAAACATTTGGGATATAAAGCTTTGCACAATGTTATGAATTTTGTTTAATACGGTAGTGCCAACGAAACCAATTTTGCAACAATAACAACGTGCCAACTTTCCTTTCGTAGCTACACATTTGTAAACCTTTCTTTGTGGAAGACCCTTGGGCGGCTGTTAAATTTAAACCAGCTAGGCCAACCAAGCCCTAAGGAAAGAGACTGAGGCTGAGAGTATACCGTAGAAAGATCAATGCTGCAGAAAAGGGAAACAAAAAGTCCACAATAAGGCTCCATTCACACGGAGGGAACGCGCACACCCGCATGTTTGCAGGACTTTGTTTACAGCATTGGGTGCACATCTCCATTGATCCCCATTGGCTCCCTGGTCATGCAGCAACCACGGAAAGATAGTACACTTTGCAAATTTGGCGACATGCGTTGCTCCCTTGTTCTCCGTGTGTTCTCACGCGCACGGAAAAACCACGCTTGTTCAGCCGCTTTTGTGTTGCCATTACTGAATAACGGCAATGCAAACACGTTTGTGCATGTATCGTGAACGCACGTCGAAGGGACACTTCCAAGACGCTACTATTGGCTTTCTATCCACCAAGACTTCTCCTAGCTCATTACACTCACAGAAGTGACCAGCCCATATCTTTTATTATTACCATTACTACACAGGATTTATAGAACGCCAACAGCTTGTGTGGCACTTTACAAAATGGAGGGAGACAGAACCGTTACAATATAACTCAATACAGGAGGGGAGGAGGGTCCTGCTTGTGAGAGCTTACAATCTAGCAGAAGCAATGAAGTCAGTGGGGCAGGAAAACAGCCAGGTAACTAGCATTTTCAGAAGGCGATCAGCAATGGTAAGCCCGTATTTCTATTCTTACAGCTTTATTTTACACTACACCTTTTTATATGAACACAGGTACAAATAAGCATTTCTTTGGGGACTCCCTCGGGCAATGTAAGGGTTACTACATGAAAGTTTGTGCTTTGTTCCTGACACAAGTATGTGACGTGTATTGGATATGTACTGGAATGGATAATTCAGAGCTACATCTATTTCTCATGTATTGCTTTTATTCCTCTATACAAGTCATATGGTAAAAATGTGCACGTGAAATGCATGTCAAACCAAAGCCATATTCCCTATATAGGTCTTGCTTCAGAGTCTGATCATTGTGTACGCTTTCACACGGGCTGATCAGGAGGGGATCTGTGCACTGATCCCCTCCTGATCGCAGTGGTCTGATCAGATGTCACCACTGTGAAATCCGCGTCCGTACAGTTTTCTTTCTCCATCTTGCAATGACGGAAGACCATCCATTTACACACAGCTGTCCACAGACTTACATTGGGCATCCGATCGGGTCTACCTGAAAAACAGAAAGGCGGACCCGATTGGACCACCCATGTAAAAGGGGCCTAAACATAAAGCAACATTGCATAGGATAAATGTGAATGCATCTACAAGAAGTTCTTTTTATCACAAAGATTTGACAAGGTTCACATATGCCGTAGGACTTCCCTCATGCATCTTCCAGTCTCATATGCAGCAGCCCTCATGCCTCCTTCCAGTCTTATATGCAGCAGCCCCAATCCAGCAAGAAATTGGCTGTACAGCTCATCGGTGCTGCACATCCATCTGTCATAATCCTGCCAGCTAGGCCCACACAGTATTGTACACTCTCCACTGCATCCTGAAATCACTCATAAGCTTGCATAAGCTAAATGTTAAAATACATGCAACAATGCGTATCAAAGATGCGTGCACACATGTGGGGCCTTAGTGCACTGTGCCACCAGTTTACAATTCATACACGTGCCATTTAAAACAGGTTTATTCTGTTCTTTTTACAACAACAGGCAGTGTAAACTGATCACAGGCTATCAGTGTTCATAGAGGAAACTGCTTACCAAAGAAATATACAAATGAGCAACAAGAAGTAGATGAGAAATAAAGTTAAAATGTGCTCCTCGATAGTGAACAAAGCAGAGAAGTCAGCAGCAAAAACAACCTCTCTGTGTTCATGTCAAACAAAAGACTGCTCGATCACACTGAAACATCGGCCTATTATTGAAGGAACACTTTGCACTTTTTATAATAAAGCCGATTTCTACATGGCTGAAATAAAATATGTTTAAAATAGAAGCGTAAATAAGACTGCAAGGCATAGAAGGCTAAAACACACATTATCATTATTAAAAATGTGCAATAAAAAGGAACAACAAGTTTAGGTAGATTTAGGATTACAGAGTGCAATACATATAGTCTAACCTGCTTTTCGCTCAGAGATGTGATTTTGGCTTGGAGTTCATGGAGCTGTTTCTTCAAGTCTGCATTCTGTCAAAGGAAAGGGAACACGTTTTTAGAGGGTTTGTATCGCAGTCATAGTCGACAGTCTCCTAGCAGAGATAGCACCATATAACATAAGGTGATAGTAGATAGCCAGCAAACTTTGCGGAGTGCCATGGATACACCTTTTATTAAAGTATATGTAGACCCAATCATTAAAATCTCATAAGAGCTTTTAGTGGCCATGTTAGTGGCATTTCAAAAGTTGTTTTCAGCCTCACTTAATCTGCGTCTTTCATTAAAATATATTACCTGGCGATTCTACCATGAAGGCCCTTGTTCAGGCACTTCCTGTTATAGGGCGACGATGCTCTTCTCCCAATTACATTCCTTTCTTGTCACCCAGTCACATATGTTTCCGGTGGAGATTAAAAGTGACCGTTTCAACACATGTTATGCAGGCACAGTCCACTGTTGCTACCATCAGGAAACCCACCCTGACAAATGTAATGCAGCCAACGCTGGTGTGCATAAAAAGTGGATGCAAAGAAACTGCAAGAGATCACCACTTAGATGCAACCAAGAATGAAAAAAAAGTTGAAAAATGTTTTTGAATACACAACGCCTTTGCAAAGGAAACGTTCTTTTAGAGGGTGTGAATATATATAAATTTATTTATATAGCGCTGACAATTTACGCAGCGCTTTATATACTGCACATTCACATCAGTCCCTATCCTCAAGGAGCTTGCAATCTACGGTCTCTATTACACACACACACAGGAAACCAGAGTACCTGGAGGAAACCCACACAAGCACAGGGAGAACATGCAAACTCCTCACTGATGGTGTCCTGACCGGGATTTGAACCCCCAATGCTGCAAGGCAGAAATGCTAACCACTACGCCACTGTATTTACCCACAAAAACAATTTCCCTTTAAAGCAAGCTGGCAGAACCACCGAACTAGGTCTTATTTTCGGGGTAGGTCTTATATTACAGAAATCCCTGAAGATAGTGCTAGGTCTTATTTTCGGGGTAGGTCTTACTTTCGGGGAAACACGGTAGCAGGTCTCTGACTGGTATATGGAATCAAACATTAATAGAACTGTTCCCAAATACAGATTGCTATATGTGTGTGTCGGTCTTGCTCTGATAACCTTGGCTAGAGCTTAGTGTCGTAAATACAAAACGCTGCTAAACTAGTTTTGCCAACACAATGATTTAACCTACACATGCTACTATACGATCATTAATATCATCCTGTTCCTACCAATTAATCTGGCTTATTTTGTCTGGCTTATATTGACTGGTATCGATTTATTTTTAAGTAGGAGTTATCTTCCTGTGAAATGTCAAATGAAAACTGGGGGTAAGAAAATGTTAAATACACTTTATTTTGCTTAATTAGTGACTTAAAATGCATTTACCTGCGGATCCTGCTTCATTTGAGCTACCAGTTTCTGGAAAAAAAAATAAAAAATTCTCTATTAACATTTGAGATTTTTGTTTTTTAGCAATCAGAATCTGAGTTAATAACATTGCAACAATCTAAAATGATCTTTACATCTACAAGATAAAATATGTCATTTAGAAAATGCCCTTTCCCTGTTTTATACCGATCCCCTTCTTGACATCGCAGACTCCACACCTCTGTACCCCATACACCCCAGTTACAGAGAATGCATCTCAACAATTGTAAATTAACCAGTCATTACTTCACAGAGAATCACTATGCGTTGTCTGAAAGATTAGGTAGTAGTGCAAATAAGCTTATTAAAACAGGGACATTTTTTTTTTCAAAGACCGGCTCACGCAAAAAACAGGAGGATAAATGCACTCTGACACGGGGGTACAAAAACAAAAAGGTAAAAGCTGCCCATACACCTTACGAAGATCGGTCGAATTTCATTTGCGATCGCATTTTCGTAAGGTTTCGTATTCGTAAGGTTGATGAGCAGTGTAAAACCGCAAACACTGTACAATCGTACGACTTTTGACTTTCCAGCAGGTTAGAAAAGTTCTGTCAAATAGTACGATTTTCGCAAGGTTGGTGCCATTTCCGTACGTGAAAAATCATATGATTAACACAGCTCAGGCGCAAACAAAATTCCATGCTGTCGAATAACGAAATTCATCCAGGTGATTTCTGCTAAAGACCAAATTATTGAATTGAACTGATTGATTCTCGTATGATAATCGTACAGTGTATGGGCACCTTTACAGTGTACCACAAGAGGCTGATGCCAAGTCAAACTAAGGTACTTACACAAAATGCATTAAACAAAACATTTCATGATGTGTTAATGTTTACAGAGCTGTATTGATATGCGTGTACCTTTAATATCTCCCTGGGATATAGCTTTAAAGCTCAACCCCAGGCAAACAGTGATTATAGTTGAAAGCATGACCTGTGATAACCGGTTTTGGAGATTTCATATACATGCAAATGAGAGGCAATGCACACAACTATGCCGAAGAGCTTTATTCACAGCTCTGCTTTTGTTTTAACACAGAAATGCCTTTTAATTCTTCTGTTTTTTTTTATATATGTTCATTGTAAAAGGTAAAAAATTATAACGGAGGCTACTGTTAGCAGGGCCTGGCACATTCAGCACAACACTGAAGAGGACAATACTGGGAAGCCTTTCAGCAGTCACTCCAGACGGGACAGAACAAGTGTTCCAGGAAGCTGTAGTCAGCATGTTGAATGCAATTACTCCGACAGACACCAGTGCACCAGAACAAAAAAAAATTAAATAGGCCAGCAGAAACCAATAACTGAAAGCAGAGTGCACCTTCCCTGAATGTTACTAAGCTCAGATTAACCCACATTTACAATATTTTATTCTGGATCTTAAGAAGGTTCACTCAGAAATTACGGTTTTGCATTTCTGTTTTAACATATCAGTAGCTTCATTTAATAACAGTGCAAACAAGTGCAATGAAGAAATGTAACCCATACATTCCACCATAGGGAAAGGCAACAGCCCAGTCAAGTCAATTAATGCCAACCAAATTTATTTGTGTTAACAAATCCAAAAGGAGGGGCCTCTGATTATGTGTCTTCAACACATGCTTGACTTAGGGGACCAAGTCTGCAAAACAGATCCCCCCCTAAAGAAAAAAAAAAAACTCCAGCTGCCCTCTGGCACGCATTCACATTCTCTCCCCTCCAAACAAGCTGCTTAATAAATCGCTTCCTAGTGCCAGATTCACAGTCTTGTGGTGTGTTACCGCACACATGCATATGCTTTACATTGTAATGTGCCAAGAAACAAAACAACAACAAAAAGTTTGTTTCTCATGTGTTAAAGTGACACTAAAAACCTCAGGAGTTAAATCCTAAAAATACATACAAGTACCTTAACTAATAACAAAAAGGTAACTTATTTGTGTATCACTCGGCTGTAGATCCTCAAATCATCTCTGAATTGGTGCTGGCACTGTCCTTCCTTCTGGAGGGGGGCTACTTTTGTTCCCCATGGTCCCTGTGTGTGTTGTAAAGTAGCCACCACTCCAAGCTCACTCCTGTGATGGACTACAATCTCAATACTAATTAGTAAACTAAACATGAGGGTGTAGTCCATCACGGGAGCGAGCTTGGAGCGGTGACTACTTTACAACACACACAGGGACCATGGGGAACGAAAGTAGCCCCCCTCCAGAAGGAAGGACAGTGTCAGCACCAATTCAGACATGATTTGAGGATCTACAGCCGAGTGATACATCAATAAGATACATTTTTGTTAATAGTTAAGATTCTTGAATGCATTTTTTAAGTAGGGTTGCAGCTAACGATTATTTTCTTAATCAATTAGTTGGGCGATTTTTATTTTTTTTTTATTAATCAGAAAAAATAGTACCGTCATTTATTTAAAATACACACCAAAAAATGTTTTGTATTTTTAAATTTTAGTTTACTTAACTTTATTTTTTTTTAATTTGTTTGCATTTTTCATTTTTAGTTAACTTTTTTTACTTTCTTGCAGCAGGGGAATGCAGTGGTTTGTGTCCCTGCTGCCTCTCCTGATACAGGCAGGGAGAGCAGCGGGGATCGAAAGGGACACAGACTGCTGCAGCCAGCACCAGCGGGGAGGAGAACGGAGGAGAGCAGAGCGGCGTCAACTGATCGAAAATCAACTAATGGATTTAAATAGGGCTGTGCAAATTAACGATTAATTTCTCGATTAATCGTTAATCTTTTTGATCGATTAACATTTTTTTTGAATCTTTCTGCATGAGCGCCAGCCAAGGCATTGGCCTATACACATTCAGCACAGCAATGAAGTAATAAAATTAACTAGGATCCCACTAATCTAGCACGTTATTATTCTGAGTTGCCCCACTCAAGCGGCGGCCATATTGAGTGGGGCACCTGAGATTAATAACGTGCTGGATTAATGTGATCCTAGTTCATTTTATGACTTCATTACTGTGCTGTATGTGTATAGGTCAATGTAGTTGGATCTGTTTGTGCGTTATAATGAAATCGAAATTAATCGATTAATCGATGAAAAAAAATTTCGATTAATCGAACACGAAAATTTTAATCAGTAACAGCCCTAGATTTAAACGATTAGTTGTTGCAGTCCTATTTTTCAGATTAAATTCCTGAGTTTAGTGTCACTTTTAAAAGGTGCACTGCCAGCATACTCAAATTAATAGGCCAGCTTAGCGCACCTAAATTCCCGATAACGCAGAGGAAGAGAGGCTTTTTCACATAGTTCCCAACTATCCCTTAGTTGGAACCAAATTCCTCTGTCCCCCCCTTTCTGTTCTGGTGTATAAACCTTTATAAAAATGTATTTTTTAGCTGCCAAACATTTTACACCAGACTAAACATTTCCTGCAAACTCTATATTATAGCATTTTGAAAAGCCAACATAAAAAGGTAAAAGTAGTGATGAAAAAGTTACCCGCGAGTTTAACAATAATTTTTTTTCCCCAATTATGCTTTGTGGTCCACCTAACGGGGTATAGAAATTGTGTCCTCAGCACACATCTATTATCTGACAAACTGCTTTAAATGAAGTCATGAGAGAGAGTTATTACACACCATAGGTGTTCAGACCTCATGATACCAGGAATCTCCAGCATCAGGACACAACCCCAGAAAAGTCTGAGGGGAGTTACTGTGCCGGTGTGGCCAGGGCACAGAAAGTTATCAAACAGCCAAGGGTCTAGTTTAGCTCAGGGAAGGGGGGAAGAAGTGCACTCTGTTATAAAGCTCAACTCCAGGTATAACTTATTATGCATACGGATATTGGTCCAATGTAAGTATCCATATGTCATAGCTGAGCAGCCCACAGTGATCCTGTACAGTACTTAGGCGGAGCTACTACCGTACTTTACAGCAATTGTCCGGATCCTGGTGCGCCCTGTGCCGAGCGGCTTTCCCTCTGATCTGAAAACACAGGGGGGTCACTCGCTGGGTACAGCAGCCATTAAGGGAACACCTAGTATGTTGATCAATGAATAGGCGTTCTCTGACTGGACAAGGGATGGACTGTGATGTCACCGCCCCATCGTCCAATTTGGAATCGCTGGTGATAGTTCCAATAGTTCTGTACCGATAGGAAGGAAGCAATAATCAGCACACCACTCCAACATCCGATGTGCTTAATGTCACACAGGGAGATAATCCAACAGGTTGGAGTGGTAAGAGCACTCTAGTGACTTGTGAAATGAGAGGTGGAGAAAGGAGCAACACTTCAAAACCAACATCATGCTGGACTCCGTACAAATGGCTTGTTCACAACACTATAACAATATGCATTATGCTGTATTTTTTCATGCTGTTTTAGTATGGTCCATTTTCATTCCAATGGTGTGTTTGGCATGGGATAACTATATACTGGTGGGTACCTAACACTGCCCTATAATAGTCTATAGTTATACTTCGATACTAGTCCTTCTATTTCCTCCTGCATCAAGCTACGCTGTGGTTTCATATGCCGTCTCCTATGTCGCTACGGTGTCCTATAGTGATATAGTGGGGATGGATTCGCAGTCCACTGACGGGACCAGGCATCCAACACTCGCAGAACTGTTGAATGCGAAAGATCCACCAGTTGACTTAGCTCTGCAATAGAGTCTAATTATGTCTAATGGTGTTGGCTGACATGATTCCGGCCATTCACAGAACCGTTCTTGGGTGGCTAGATGTCAGGTCACATACAGGATTACAGGATTTGGCAGTGCTAAAATATGCCCCATTGATTCTGGAGAAGAATTTTAATACAAACCTCAGTGGTGCAGGATTCCCTTATCTAACTGCAAGTCCACTAGACAAACGGCATTATTATGTCTAATGGTGTTGGCTGACATGATTCCGGCCATTCACAGAACCGTTCTTGGGTGGCTAGATGTCAGGTCACATACAGGATTACAGGATTTGGCAGTGCTAAAATATGCCCCATTGATTCTGGAGAAGAATTTTAATGACGGTTATGAGTTCTTGCACTCGGGGACAGTTTTATTGGGGACAGACCAATGAATCAGAATCAATGATGATCCAATTTGTGGGTGATAACGGCCCTGTAGAAGTGTAGTAACTGTGCTTATCCACCAGATGTCACTGCTGCAGATGCCATCAGCAGAAAGTATCCAGATGATGAAAGACTTCCGCAATGTATCTAACCACTTTGCAAAAGTGCTATAGGAAAGAGCTGTTCTATTTGTAGCTACCTGGTACATGGTAATGAAAGTGCTAGTTTAACCAAATAAAATCCAAAACCAGATTTTCTTCAGTTTCTTTCATGGGATATTTGTGATGAGAACAAAGGTTATATAAAACATGGTGGGTGAATCCCTTTTGAAATGAAAATGTACAATGATCAGCCAAAGGACCCGCATAATATTGAGTAGGTCCCCCTTTTCCTGACCCATTCAGGCATTGGCTCCACTAGAACTCTGAAGGTGTGCTGTGGTATCTGGCACTGAGACGTCAGTAACAGATCATTTAAGTCCTGTAAGTTGTGAGGTGGGGCCTCCATGGATCGGACTTGTTTTTCCAGCACATCCCACAGATGCTCGATTGGACTGAGATCTGGAGAATTTGAAGGCAAAGTCAACACCTCAAACTTGATGTCATGTTCCTCAAATTATTCTTCAACCATTTTTGTAGTGTGACAGGACGCATTATCCCACTTAAAGAGGCCACTGCCATCCACGAAGAGGTGTACTTGGTCAGCAACAATGTTTAGGTAGGTGGTACGTGTCAAGGTCACATCCACATGAATGGATTAAAGCATCACACTGCCTGTGCTTGCTTGCCTTCTTCCCATAGTGCATCCAGGTTCCATCTCTTCCCCAGGTATGAGACAGATCCACACCCAGCCATCCACATGATGTAAAAGAAAAATTTAATTGATCAGAGCAGGTCACCTTCTTCCATTGCTCCATGGTCCAGTTCCAATGCTCATGTGCCCATTTGTAGGTGCTTTTGGCAGTGGGCACAAAGCAGCACAGGCCAGTCTCAGATACGCAGGCCCATGCGCAGCAATCTGCGATGCGCTGTGTGTTCAGACAACTTTCTATTGGAACCCACATTTACTTATTCAGCAGTTTGAGCTACAGCAGCTCTTTTATTGAATCAAACTATTCGGGCCAGCCTTCGTTTCCTATACGCATAAATGAGCCTTGGCCGTCCATGACCCTGTCGCCGGTTCACCGGTTTTCCTTCCTTGGACCACTTTTGGTAGGTCCTGACCTTTGCAGACCACTCACTTCCAGGTGTCATTGTAACGAGATAATCAATATTATTCACTTCATGTATCAGTGGTCATAAGGTTATGGATGATTGGTGTACAATCTTAAAAAGGGACATTGTTAGTATTTAAAAAAAACATAAACAAAGTCTGTGTTCCAATACTGTACTGTAAAACGAAACCAGTACCACCTCTTGTGCAGCTGATCTTCACTTTACTTTCTCGCAGAGCTGAAAGCACCTGTAGTATCTTCAGGCTCCAACACTTGTGTCAGATGCCATGTCTCCCCACAGTGCCACAAGGAAGACACAGTGCGGCATACAGCAGGGGAATATAGGCATCCTACAAAGATAATAAAACACTTCCAGTGTTTTAGTATCCAAGTATCCACTTCCAAGTATTTTAACTGAACTTCATATGCAGACTTTGTTCACATTTTTCATTCACTAGTAATGTGTCTTAAGCGAAAATAAAAAATAAAAATTAACAACCGCTGGGAGGCAGAATTTTGGGAGGCAGAAAAGCATCCTCCACTTCTACATAGCATTTTCTGCTTCTGTGCGCACTTCGCGTGGCACATATGCAGTGCCGTGGCACTCCTCCCAGCTTACTAATGGCAGAAATAGAGCCAGGGTGATGTAACTCTAATGCAGAGGCACAGGAGTTACATCATCAGTGGCTACCCAACGGCGGAACCAATGGACACTGGACTGAAAAGATGAACGGGGGAACATGGACGCCGCATCACTGGAGGAAGGTACATTAGGAGGTAAGCATGTCATGATGAGCAAAAGCCCACCCACTCCAAAAGCAGTAAATGCACTTCATATGTAGACTTTGGTTCACAATTCCCAAAATGTTTTAAGATTTTGCATCCTCAAGTTTAGGATCCCACGGTGAGGTTAACTAAGGTCACGGTGAGGTTAGGGTGAGTTGTTATCCAGGGTTTCTAAATGCCAGAATGGGCTCTTAGTTAGGACATCCTTGATATTTAATACATCGACAAAAGAGAGTCTCTCTCTCTCGTGCAGCACGACAAAGGAGCTTTGCCTTCCAATCTCAGCTGCTCCAGGAAAGGTTTGTGGCTCCAGAGCAGCAGAAAATAAATATATTTACCAAATCGGTGACCCCTAGTAAAGAGGATGTTTTTACCTGGTGAAATTGTATTTCCACTTTCAGAGCCTCCTGTAGAGACTGCAGCTCCATCCTCCTTTCTCCTGTTTCCTGCAACTCTAACACACAGGACTTTTCACAGAGAGAAAAGGTCTTCCAGGATTTAAACCTGTTGAAAGATAAAACATGTGTTAAGACTTGTTAAGAAAGGGAAAAACAAACAGTGTTAATGATTGTGCGCATGGTCAGTGGTGGGCAAAGAAGGTTACATTCTCCCCCTCCAACATTAGTCACGGCAACCTGTAAAACTTTGTATGAATCCTGCCATCATAGCCCATATGGTTGAGCTGAAATTTATATAAAAATATATATATATATACATACACACACACACATACATACATACATACACCCTTTGAAACTTGTAAGGCTGTCCATCAATCCAATGAGGCAGGCCTTTGCACTAGGAAGTTTAAGTTTCTAGTTACACCTATGCATTACAGTACAGTAGCAGGCAAAGTACTTGTTGTGGTGCATTGGCAGCCCATTAAAAAAAAGGGTTTCCTTAACACAAACAAAACATTAAAGTGAAGGGTCCTAAGTGTTTTAACTTCACCTTTCTCCAGACTATTTCCATTTCCCATATACAGAAGATTAGTAATCCACTGATGACAACATAGGCCCAACGGTGGGATTTACAGGTTACAAAGAATACATTTTCTCCGTTTCTTATTCTCCAACAGCAACCAGATTGAAATCTTCATTCTCCACCTGTCATTTCCCAGTGCGGCTTTAAATCTGAGTGATCGCTATGAAGGAACACAGACAAAACAGCCCTTGCTGCAAAATGTCACATACCTGACCAATTCAGACTAAGGCTTCATTCACACTTGTGTTTTTATGCAGAGATGAGTGAGGCTAGGATTGCTTTGTTTATGCCTCTAGATGCTTATAATGACGCATGTTTACACACACACACACATGCGTTCAGATGCATCTGTCCTTTGACCATTGAAATACTCCATTAAAAGTAGCCAATGAGATTTCAGCTAATAAATGCGTCTTGCGTTTCCATGCGCTTAGAAGGTTAAAATGAATGCCTGGACGCAGAGCACTTCTATCTTTCTAAAAGCAGCTAAAATCGATTGCAGATAAAAGCATCTAAAACGCAAGGCGTGAATAGATCCACTGGAAATCATTAGATGCATATATATATGCGTTGAGAAAACATTTTTAAATGCATTTAAACACATCTAATCTCACCTAGTGTGAATGTAGCCTAACCCCATAGTAAAAAAAAATGCATAGCCAACTCCACTTTTCCTGCAGAAGTTAGCCCCGGCCCAAACACCCCCTATAGGTCTTTGATGGGATGGGCAGCCTCACGACCCAATAGAGAAATGAAATGAAAGTGGGGCCAAACTTGACATTTTCTGGAAAAAGTTGAGATTTGCAAATTTATTACAGGTACAGGTATACAGTGCCGACAATTTATGCAGCAATTTACATAGTTGCACATAATTTCTGCTGGCAATATCTCTCTATGTTTTAGATTGTAAGCCCTTATGGGCAGGGCCCTCCTTACCATCTTGTCTTGAATTGTATTGTAGCTGTAATGTCTTCCTTATATTGTAAAGCGCTGTGCAAACTGTTGGCGCCATATAAATCCTGCATAATAATATTATTAATAATAATACTATACTAACAGTTTTGGTATGTGGTTCACACTGAAGGCAACATCTGCCTAATGTGCCTCCTGCTACCCATTCTAACAGTACCAGTACAAAGAGGATGTTGTGACATGACACGTTTAGGTCACAGCAAACCCTAGATAGCAGCTGTGAAACTAAGCCAAGATTTACTTTCAATTTAGGATTTTGATATCCATGCAGTCTGACTGGATACAACAACATCATTCTGCTTTCTGATTTGCTGGATTTTTAAAATATGTGTGCCGTTGATTAGGGATGCACCGATATATCGGCCGCCTAAACAGATCGGCCGAAAATGCCACTTTCGGCTAAATGCGGAAAGTGCCAATTTTCCCCCAATACAGCGGTGCATCCCTGGTTTCTTTCCTCCCTGCAGGGCGCTGCTCTGTGTCCTAGCGGGGAGGAGAAAAACTGTCACAGGCGGCCGAGCTGTGCGGAGTAGAACGCTGTGAGCGGTCGGCTTCTCTCCTCCCTGCACCGCTCAGCCTCCTGTCACAGATCAGAGGAGAGCGGTGTGGCAGCAGAGACAGCCAGCGCTGTCACAGGAGGCTGTCCAGTGGTGCGGGGGAGGAGTCAGCTGTCAGATCGAGTTCTCCTCCCCACACCGCTCGCTCAGCCTCCTGTGACAGCGTGTCAGAATGGAGAGTGGGTACAAGCAGTCAGTGATCGGTGAGTGTTTGTAAATAATTGAGGAAATGGTACGTTTACTATATCCTCAATTATGAATGAATGGGAAGTGATCTACATCACTTCCTGTTCATTCATGATTGTGGTTATAGTAAAACACACTATCTCCACATCTTATGAATGAACAAGAACACTCAGTATAGAGGATTCCTGTTCATTTATAACAGGGGCTGCAGACAAAGAGATTGAGGCCTCTGTGTCCTCAATCTCTTTTTCTATTTTATTAATTGCAGAGTTGTCACTCTTATGTAGGCTGTGCCTGCTTGCACTAAAGTGGGCTCAAGAAATGCTGAAGGGGGCTTGGCCATCAATATTGTCACTGCTGAATCAAAAGCCTGTAGTTTGTCAATCAGTGCTGGGCCACATCTAGTCCCATCCACTAATTTCACTGACAGCAATGCCTCTGTTGCTGAAAACTCTCCCACTGTGAGCCGCAATGTCTGGAGGGGGAGTGAGTGAGGCACAAATGAAGAAGCATTTGGCTCTGTCAGAGAAGATCAACTAAAAACATGGGAGCCTTAGTCATTTAAATGTATGAATTATTGCTCGGTTGTGTTTGATAAAAGTCAGTAGGTTTTCAAGTTACACCAAAACAAACCAAAAGTGGCAAATCCAATCCCCATCCAATCAGTCATGGTGTACAGAGAGAGAACCAGCCCATGAGGATTAAGTGTGAATTAGCATCACTGCTTACACTGCAAGCACTGTAAAAAACACTTGTGAAGCTCTGAAAAGCCAGAAGCAATGACAGCCAATTCTACTTCACATTTAGATCTCAAAGAAGTAACACAAGCATGGAGTCGTCTTTGCAATCCCCCCCTAGCCACAGACCAAGCTGCCGAACGAGCGAACATTTAGTTTATGTTGATGCAATCTAAAAAAAAAACCTCGAAATGAAATTCAATTCTAACTCGCAATCAATGATTCCAAACACATTTGGCTAAAATACATAAAGACGTGTAAACCATAAGTGTCTTGTATAAATGTAACGTATATTAGGACAGGAAGAAAGAGTTGCCATAGCAACCTGTCAAGTGGTTGCTTTCAATTTTCTGCCCAAACTGGAAAAAATGAGATTTCCAATCTGATTGGCTGCTGTACAGAAACAGTGATGTGCCCCTGTTAGAGAAAGCTTCCTCAATTGTAGACCTGTCATGGTTTAAAATCAACTAAACTGGCTATAGGAATGAAGTGCAAAAATATGGGCACCTAGAGCCACTTTACCAAGTGCCCAGAATTTTATTAAAGCATCCTGGGGCAGATGTCATTCAATAAAATCCTGCAATGTGGTAACAAAAACAGTAAAAGGGTATATACACTAGTAAGCTGGAAGAACACTGCATTGGTATGAACAAATATGGCCGCCACCATGTACACATATAGAAATACAAAGTATACACTGATAGTATTTAAAATACACACTGGGGAAGGGGGGAAGATGACGCCTGGAGGGGAGACAGAAAACTGAACTCCTGAACCAGGAAGAACAATTTAATTGGAACCCACGCGTCATTCCTGGCTGTGCAGTACGGAATATGTGTAAATACAAGACTGGCTGAACAGAATAACAAATCCTTTGGCAGGTCATACAATATAAAGATGTACGTCACCTCTGCATTTAGTTGTTTTTTTGGAGTTTTGATTTACAGCAAGTACATGCCAATATCGATAGAGCTGCAACAAACATTTATTGACACATAAGTCCCCGTTCACATATGGGCGTATTGTGAACATGTTACAAATGCGAAGAAAAGTGTGCGCTTTGACGCATGTTCACGAAGCACGCAACGTGATTGTGGTGCCATTACTAGTACATTACAAGACCGGCTGCACATTACTATTAATGGCAACCCAAATGCAGCTGAGCAAAAATGCAGAACGCATGTCACAAAATGTGTTACACGAGTGACTTTTCCCGCGCTGCCCGCAGCCGGATGTGCCTGCGTTCCAGTCCAGTGCGATCTGCAAAAATAGTGCCTCCCGCCCCTGAACGCAGGAAGGCGGCCAGCTTGCGCTCCAGAGGCCGAACGCACAGGAATGTGGACTTTGTGGTGTGAACCGGCCCTTAGGTCACCTTCACACCACATCACCTCCAGACCAGACCGTTTCCGGACCCAAAATGCATCCCAAGGTATCCCTATGCCATTTCTGGACTCTGTTCCCACCAGCGCAGTTCGTTCCAGACCACAAAAATACTGCATGCCTTATTTTGCCTGGTATGGAATGCACTGGAACACATAAAAAAAACGTATGGAACTCACTGGAACGCACCTGTAAGACCATTTTAAGCTATATAAAAAAAAAAAAATCAAAAAAAATCAAAAATGTGGCAAAACCCAGCCTAAAGATGATGTGCTGTAAATGGGCCCTTAGACTAAAACTACAGAGCATCAGTTACAGCGCAGTCCATCCTATAGCAAGGAACGGAAGTGACAAGGGCAAAGAACTTCTATCTAGGTAAATCCTAATAGGCAAGAATGTAAAAGCTAAACAGTAAACATATTTAAAACTATGGCTACTGACCTAGGACATCACACGGAATAATAATTCAACATAAAAATCATTAGACAAAAATATACAACAGGAATCTCAAACTGTGGAGCTATTAGAAGTAATATTTTTATGACATAATTACTGAGCCAGCAAAGCAAAAGCAATAATTAGCCCTGCCACCACTGTCCGGGTACGAGGGAATATGAAAACACAAACATTTTCTCTGCTTGCATAAATGGTTACTTAGCACTGATTGCATGAATATATTTCAACTTGC